GTTTTGCTTTTTTTTATATGAAATCCAGATATGCAAAAACTGTACAGGCTGCTCTGATCGGCAGATCCAGTGCGTCTCCCTCAACTGTCCAGTATTCTTCAAGCTGTCCAGAGTCAGCAGAGAACTGTCAAAGGCACCGTACCTTCGCCAGCTACTTGACCAGTTTTAAATGATCTGTGTTACAGGATTCCAGGTGCTATTTTTTTTTTTTTTTCAGTGTTTACCACACTAAGACTATTGTGCATGGTGCTTTTTCAATTCTCATCTAGTCCAGGATTTCCATTTTAACTAACTGGTGGGTTTATTATCTGAAGAAGACCGAACGCTTATCCTAACTAAATTAAAAAAAGGAGAAAAAAACCCCATTTGTTGATCTATGAATAGCTCACTTTTTAAGATGTACAAATTTCTTCTTTCTTTCATGTTTCTAACATACTGTTTTATAATGCTGATGTTGAAATAGCTCTGTGTAACATCTTGTAAATCCATTTCAAAGTAGAAGTCAAGTTTACTTCCTGGAGGAAGGAGCACTGAAAACCTCTTGAAACGATAAAACCATTAGTGTGTGTTCTTGAACTGTCAGTATCAAGACGTGTTACTTATATATTATCCATTCACTTTATAATTTTGTCTGCGAAATATTTTGTAAATACACTTTTTTACTTTTCAAACAACTGAGTAAAATAATGTGCAATGACTTTTATACAGATAATTTTAAAGTTGGTTGGTATATCTCCTCCTAAGTTTTGCTTGATTCCAAGTAGATGGTTATTTTGATCAGACTGTGCAAACAGTAGTATCATGTGTAGCATTTTGAAACATTATTTTCTAAAAATTGCTGTCTTGCTTTAGCTATTAATGGGGCATTGTGAGGAACTGTGCAAAGACATTTTTGTTACAAACCTGTGGGACTGTTGCAATACTTTAAATATAAAATTTTATTCCATTTTTGCTTGTTTTGTATAGACATTTCTATTGCTTCTAAATATGCTTAAAATATTTTCTTTCCTTATGTACTGTACAGTTAAATCTTATTTGCCACCATCTTGACAAAATGTGTATTTAGAATATTTGTATAACTGTATAAAATGGAAAAGGAATTATGTGGTCAGTGCATTGTTTTCTAAACTGGAAATCATTTTGTTTTAGAAGTTAATAATGGAAACCATATTAAAGTTGAATAAAATGATATGGTAAAAACTGATGCTGCTTTTTATATTTACCCTGAGTTGCAGACACCTTTGTTTCCCTGGTTCAGCACACAAACAGTAATGTAAAGAGGACTGACTGCTCACATGACAGTTGAGAATCCACCACTCAGTTTCCAGCTTAAGCAGCTTTGGGATCTAAAGCCTCAGTATCACTTCTTGGAGGCCTCCCCCAAGTCAGAAGAGAAACAGTTCCCATTTTCCATTAGTCTAAACAGGAGTAAGTTTTAAATTTAAAAGGCCAAAGTAGCTTTGAAAAATAGGACAAAACTTTATTTACATCAAGGAACCTGAGTGCCTTCTCCAGTTCAGAATTTATTACATTCAAGGTACAAGTCAGTCTGTTAAATTTCACATTCATTATACAGTACAATGTAAACCCACACCAGGTAGAAGAAAACCTATTAAATACATAATAGAACATCCACAGATCACAATGTGCTTTTACGCAAAGTAACTGAAAAAAAAAACCACAAAAAACCAAAACCACCCAAAAACACTGAGGCACAAAACTCTGCCTACTCTCGTATTCTAGCATTGGCCAGGTACAGAACAAAAGTGCAAAGGCCAGGAGTAACATGTTAGTGCTTGTGGTACAATCCAGCATTTGGCAGTGCTTTGGGGATAAATACAAATAGTAACTGACGCTCAACTGTAAGAGGTTACCTTTACCGCTGGAGTAAACGGGCAAGCGCTCATCGTCAACTCAGACCTGGCTTTATGGGCAAAAATAGGATTCCTCATAAATTCAGGTATCTACTCTAACCCCTGGGCCACAGCTCTTGGCCTCAGCACAGAGGTGACTTTTCTAGCATAAGCAAGGCAAGGGGAAAGTAGTTTACTTCAAGTAATTTCAACCCATAACATGTATGTTTAAGTGTTTGAGCTTTCTGGAGGATCTTTAACTCAAAAGGCACTGTAAACAGATCCTCATGTTAACTGTATATGCCAGGAAGCATTTTACTTTGAAAGGAAACTTAAACATGTAAGAACTAACATTTGTTGTCTACGAACAAGCCTTGAGGAACACCAAAACCCAAGAACTAGGAAAGCTACAGCCTTGAACATGGAGGATGTGGAGACCTGCTGTGAGCTGGAGTCATTGCTGGAAATGTCCTTGATCTGTTCTAAACACTTCCCTTCCATTAGGGGCAGCCTCTGCTTATGAACAGCATGCTTTTCAGGCCATCTCAAGTTCAAGGCCAGAATTGAACTTAAATGCTCACTAAGATGACTCAAAATTTAGATGTCACCCAGACAAAGGCCTCCACCTATCAATCAATCAGACCTGATTCTGTGTGGTACCACTCAAGATAGATAATGATGATGTGAGTTCCCCTCTGTCTTCCTGCTGCTGCTTTACCTTGTGTAAAAGGCTGCTCTCACCTTGGCAGGCCAGGCTGTTGCTCTGCTCCTACCAACTCGGGCCTCCTGCTTTGAAGGGGCAAAAGGGGGATGAATTCAAGTGACTCAGGCAGGAATTAATACAGCCAGTTAAAAAAAAAAATCAATCATCATCTGTGTTTTGCACAGTATTTTTTACACTTACTGGGAAGACATTAGTCAGCAACGCACAACTCTCTGTCTCTGTGTGTGTGTATAAGCAACAAACAGATCAGGTTCAAAGAAGTTACAGCGCATTTCCCAATGCGGCTTTAGTTTCATTTTCTGGGTTTGGTTGGTGTATTTTTTTTTTTTTTTAAAAAGAAGTACTCGATTATGCAAGGTGTGTAATCTATCCCTGAGAACAATCATCTCACCTGCAGGACCTTCCAATTTGGAATTCCATTCCAGAAATCAGCATACGAATTAATTAGGGGATTATTTAAACCCTTCCTGGTTGCCAGGTGCATTTCTTCAACTAATTTTCTTCTGGCAACGTGATCTGGGGTACGGGGAAACTTTTCACGTCGCCACCCATTCAGGTAAAGCCTACAGCTGGCAGCTACAGAACCAGTTCTGCCGCACCGCTCCATCTGCTATCGTACAAAAGGAACTGAACACAGGAGGCCACACAGACTTGCTCCTGTTGATCCAATGCTGTCACGTGTACCTAGAGAAGAGGATTTGGCCTGATATTTGAAAGCATTTACCATTACTTTAAGCAAAGAAGAGAACCCTTGTTTAGCAAGTGAAACAAGGCTGTATTTTAAAGTGCAGGTTCATGCATTGCGCTGGGAAAGATGCTGCGGAAGTGCGCGTACACGCAAGGGAAAAAGGCATTGGGCAAAAGCGCAATGGCATTTAAGTGCCGACAGCAGAGGGACAGGGAGGTCTTTCAAAATGGCAAGATGCAAAAAAAAAAATTGCATTTTCACTACAGGTCGGTTCCTGCTTCTTACTAACTTCTCAGAAGGAAGGAGAGAGCCACGAGGTTCTAGGTTACACACTCAGAGGACAAAAGAGGGAACAAAACCAGACCTGAAAATACACTGAACACCTAAGGTTCTGTGCTATGTTACAGCCAGAGCTCTTTTGCTAGTAAATAAAACTTCTTTACAAGAAAAACACTAAAAAAAGTGCAAAGTAAAAAACGCAAAACATCAACACATTCTGATCACGCAGCCTTAAATAAACACTTAACCTACAACTTCAGAGTTTCAAGTAGCCAAATTACAAGATTACTGTTTCAGAGTCAGATTTTTGCCTTTAGCTGCCGCTCAGTGGCATGACTGGTCCTTCCCCAGTCCGCTTAGCGCAGCGAGGAACCTACAACTACAAACCACTGCTGCTCCTCTAGGAAGAATCTGCCGGTAAAGTCATCACCCCAAGAAACAAAACCCAAACAGCACCAATCCAGCTGGCAAGGGGCGAGCGATCAAATGGCACGACCCGGAAGGATTCGTCTCCTGTGACTCCCTCTGAAATTTTCCTTTTAACACATCGCTACGTTAAAGTCTCAGCGCAGGAAGACAGAAAAATTGTTAGGACCTTAATTTAAACAACTGGCTTAAAAGTCTCACAGCCCTATGTCAACACCATGGATTAAGTATAATTTTATCATCTTCCTACATTTCTTGATTCCAGTGGTAGTGCAGGAATTAAAATCACAAGTAGTCTAGACTATTTAGATTTGTCACCACTGTTTGACTAGTAAATCAGAGTTAAGAATTACAGCAGATTAACAACCCATTTTGTCAACCCTCCCATACGCTGCTTTTAAGTGACCCAAAGGCATGGTTCCACTCCCAAAAATTGATTTTTAGTTTTTTCTCGCCTTAGTGACAGAACCAGAAAATTCCACAGGTCACCAACAGGTTATCCAATTTACAGCTGCTGGGCATCACCTGAAATCTGACTTGATTTTCTGGTGTACATCACACACAAACTTTTGATGCAGTAGAGGAGACAAGAGAGCTCAGCATCACAGATGACGGGTTTCTCTCCTCTCCCCTGAAAACATTTGGTGACCAAGCACCTCAGAACTGCATCTTCCACCCGCCCCCCCAAAAAAAACGAGTGGTCTGAGCAGTTCCCTTCTTTCCTAGTTAATTCTTATTACAGCATCTATTACTTAAATGCATGCCTCACATTTAGCAAACGTCTCATGTTTTAACATTTTCAACACAGTCTATACACGGTATCACGTTACCCCATTCACATCATGGTGGACTTTCCCACTGCGAGACACATCGCTGCAGACTGAAAAAGAAAGAGGAGAAAGGGCCGGACAAAGACAGAAATGAACACGCTGAGCTCTGCGCCGCTATAAAAGGATTCTTGAACCACTTCAATGATTCAATTGCATTGCCCTTTTTAAAAAAAAAAAAAGAAAAAAAGTCAGCTTTTACTTTAATCCTTCTTCTCCCGGTCAACATTCACATTTTTTCTCCCAGGGGAGCCACCAGCAACCGCTGGAGAATCGGGCGATACGTCACCCAGATGGGGCTGGAGAGAGCCTCTGGCTGGAGAGTCCCCTGGTATCTTACGGGACGTCTCTACCACAGAGTTTCTCAGCGTGTCATTCATTTCTATCACCTCAAAGTCTGCTTCGTTCCACTCTCCTGCATCCTCCTCATCTTCTTCATCCTCATTAAGCCCCGAGTTTGACAACAAAGCTTTCCGGTCCTCGCTCTCATTCATTTCTTTCAAGTCGCTCTCGCCACGACAGTTGGCCAATTTGTACATCAGAGGGAAGAGTATAACCGTCATCACGGAAGTCACCAAGGCAGCGTACATCACCACAGGAACGTGGTGAAACCTGCCTTGAAGGTACCCCACCACAGCGGGAATGCACATCTCGCCCAGCGCGGCGCCGATCACAAAGAGAGAAGCTGATTTGCCTTGCACGACCGTGTACTGTTCTATCCAGGAAATGCCACTGGGAAAGATGGTAGCCAGGGACGCTCCGTACACGGCGGTTCCAACCCACAGCACAGCCGGGTACCTTGCAAAGAAGGCCAAGCACGAGGAGGAGGCGGCAGAGCCTACGACACTCAGCAGGATCATGGTGCCAGGGAACAAGCAAGCAGCACAGAATATCGCCACTCCTCTGCAAGCGGCAAACACCCCCCAGAAGACGGAATTCAAAGCGGCCGCTTCGTTTTCTTTCATCTCAGCAAAGACCTTTGCGTAAGTAAATATGTAAGAGCCGTAAGTGACCTCCGCTCCCACGTAGCAGAAGAAGAACACAAACAGGAGAAAAATGAGGGCATAGTGGTATTTGGCAAACAGGCATTTCTGCAGAGAAGCCTTTGATTTGTCTCGAGCTGCGCTGCCCTTCGAATACAAAATAAAAAAGACAAAAGACACAAACAGAAGATAAGTCCCTATGACGACATAGGACCACAAAAAATCCGCTCCAAGCCGGCGCTTCAGTGCTGACGCAGCTGATGCAGCTGATGCTGTCGGCACGGCCCTCAGGACAGTCTGGTTTGTCTTTCCAGCCACTGGAAGGTCTTTAGATTCGGAGCCTCCCAAGGCCATTTTGGCCAGGATGGGAGCCACAAACGCACCGACAGCAAAGCTGAAGTGCAAGGCCTGCATATGCGGCCCAGCCTCCGCTCCCCAGGTGTTCAGCGCCAGTATGTTGCCACCTGCAAATTGGAGAGAGGAGTTGTCAGTCATTTTAGTCTGAAATCAGATATTGGTTAAAAAAACCAAACCAAACCAAAAACCGCCCATAACCAACCTGTATTATTAATTTAATCTGCAATAATACCAGGCTTAGCAAATACAATGTGCAAAATCATAGTTAATTGAAATTCTGCCTGGAAACACCTTAAACCCACGCGATTACTTGAGCTTTAGGAGGGTGTTTCACAGCAGTCAAAATGAAGAGCCTTAATCTAGCAGCAATGGCCATACTTAATTACCCTACTTGACAATTTGCAGCATTTTTCAGCCTTTTTGCAAAGGAGCAAATTTAACTGCTTCTTATTTCTGGAAATATTAAAAGCAACAATGCACAACACTAAGAATCAGAGGTCTCATTACACAACATCCCAGGAAACATCATGAATCACTTGCTTCTGGTGGGCTGGGACTACCTCAACTGCGTTCAAATGACTTTCCAGAAGCGGAGAGGTTTACAATAATATTGCTGCAGAGACCAAACTACAACACCCTCAGATCAACAATAATGCTAGAAAATAAGATCTTAGAGATACATTTTTAAGTAGTCCCTGAGAAGAATGCAGGGAAATAAGAACAGTAACTAAATTCCTGCGCTACGGTACAGCAACCCTTGTCACGCAGCACTCACACTCTTCCAAATGAATTCAGTTAAACATTCTCCCAAATTAATTCTACCACCTTGCTCTTAGTCTCTCCTGCTGGGAAGTCTCCCTGCCTCAGAAGTCTGACTTCCAAGCAGCACACCCACCCGCTGAAGACATTTTTACAATAAGCTGACAGGGTTTTCCCAGATGAAGATTTTTTAAACCAAGGGCCGTGTATAATGATCCTACCGGAGGCAACAAACACACCTCCTGCAGCTGTTTAGCATAACCTGTGCCATGCAAAACTATCTATTTCATTCCCAGATCCTATATCACACTCTCTTCAGTGTTAAGATAGCTCCCTCGAGCTCCGCAGAATTAGGGCGGATGGTTCCCACGTGCAGCCATCACTCCTCTGTGTTGCCTAGGATGCCTAGCAGCTGGGATGCTTCCGGAGCTGTTTGGCTAGCTACGCTAACTCATTAGCCAGCTCTTACTCAGAAATATGCCTTCCCCAAAGCTGGTCCACTGGATCCAGTCGTACCTTGCTGGGTAGTAAGTAACCACAGGTTCCCCCGGTAAGCCAGGACAGTCGGCACGCTGCTGGGACGTCACCGGAGAGGTGCCAGGTGAGTGGCTGCCTGTTGCAGCTTCACCCCCCACCTTCTACAGCAACGCCAGAACACTCCACCGCTGACGTATTTTTGGTTGTTTCCTGTCCCCATGGCAAGTATGCCAGCAGTACCCAGTCATCTCTAAGCGTGCTTAGGCCTCCTGCCGTGGCCTTGCCTCCTGATCCAAACTGCCTGCTACGGCCAGCCAGCCCTAACTCATCATCCTTTCTAAGCCATGCCCGATCAACTAATTTCTGTGGGAATTTCTTTTTCATACCTCTGCTATAACTGACCTTTCCAACCACACCTGTAGACATTTGCCCTGCAACTTCACCGGTGCATCCTCCTCCAATAAGGAACCTCTACTACAAAATTGCTTTCCAACAGCTTTCCAGGAAAAGTGGGTTTTTTTCCCAGGCCGTCTGCAGTGTGCACGTGCCACAGACTTCTGATGTGGGGCATAGAATAGATTTGTATTGCCAAAGCCTGAAGGGAGGTTGGCCAAGGGCAGCAAATATTCCTTAATTCAAGGAGATGGACAACATGGCGCTGTAAGCCAGCTGTGGCAGTAAACACCTGTGGTGACTCCCCAAACGCCACCTGGGCAGCTTTAGGTGGCCAACTCTCCAACACAGCACCTCTGAGGATCTCTCTCAAACACCAGGGCTTGCTCAGGACTGACTTAGGTCCTGCTGGCACTAATGAACAGTAACCCAGCTAGCTTCCTATAGATGAGCAATTTAAAGAAAACACTGTTTAAAGAGCATGTGACTCTTTACGTCTGTAATTGCCCACTGAAATGTGCATTGATCGTCTCCAGGAAGCAAGAGATACCGAGTTCCCCAAGCCTTTAAGGAAGGCCAGTTAGAGACACACAAACACTGGAAGTCTCAGGATCAGAATAATCCAAGAATCCCAGCCAGGTGAAACAGCTCCCCTGTGGGATGCCGGACTTGTCCAGGCTTGTTGGTGCCGAATACAGGGCCATTATGAGCCAGCAGAAGGGGCCCTGGGGGAGTCGGGCTTGGGCGAGAGCAGGGATTGAGCAACTTGCTTATCTTGCACTGATAAGCACTGGACCTGAACAGGGGCAGATGAGCAATGTGTTCATCTTAACAAGATGTGGCGCCTGACGGGTCCGCTCCTTAATCAACTAAGTGACGCCCGGGGTGAGGGGGAGCCTTCACAGCTTGACTTTGGTTACTTTGGTAAAACTAAACAGACCACCGCTCCTCTGTACTGAATGCCTTTGTTCTCCGCCACTTCCCCTCCCAGCCCCCATCAACTGCACAGCAAGCCTTGTTAAGGGCCAATCGACACACAATACCTGACTTAGTCCCACCTCGCCAAAAGTATAAATCTGGCATTTAGAATCCTCTTTTTTGAGGACGAGAACTCCAACTATCCAGACGGGTCGACGGGTCCGGACCTCTCTCCTCCCCAAGCAGGGACGCCTCTTTGGTAAGACTTGCACCTCCGATTATGTCGGATGTTACCCTGGGAAAACTATCATTAACAAAAAGCGCTGAACTATTAACTTGAGCTCAAAATTGTTGCAGTTAGTGCATTTATCAACGGCAATTCCGAACTTTTTATATCTGTCGCCTCAATAAATTACCTATTTTTCTTTTCAACTTTGAAAAACTGTTTCAGTGAAAGTCCTTAGTGGGGCTCTGACAGACAAATGTTGACTCTGATAAGTGGCTACACACATAATCCTTTAGACATAAACCATTGACCAAGTCTGGGACTAAGACTGGACCTAGCCGCACCTAGGCTCCTCTCTGAGAAGGAGTTTAGAAAGCAAGGGGGTCCTTTCTGAACCTCGTGACTCAACGGGAGGGCCTCCCTCAGCCACACATCAGTCTTGCACCCTTTCACGCGACATCCCCTCTTTTAATTCAAAATTTATTTCACTGTGTCACATGAAATACCAGCAACGGTTCTGGTGAGTTTGAAGTTTCCAATTAGTTCAGTGAAGGAACTATTGTCGGACCACATGGTCCCTTACCTGTGTCTAGAATTCCCATGGAAGCGCCAATCACTGACATTAAGACAGTTAACAGCAGGGATTTCTTACACCAGGGTATCCCGTAAAGACCAACTGTTGTTCCAAACATGGACAATGCTGGAAAGATTAAAAAACAAAACAAAAACCCCAGGTACTACAGTTTCAATTTAAACTACAAAACACACAGAAGACCAAGAAATGCAAATACATTCATCGTTATTACAGTTACAGATAATCCTGACAGGTGATGTAACCTAATTACCTCAATTCATGATTAGCAGAAGCAGCTAGAAAGTTCAACAGAATCATTTTTCACCTGGAAAAAAGGAATTGCATTCAGAATATAAACACTACATGAAAAACCAGTTTTGCTAAAGCTTTGTTTGCAATGGGAGTAGCACCTGCTGCTAGAACGCAAGCCTTCTTCCGCAAACTTTTGATTTAGAGGTGGTATTTCAGTATCTTCTGCAGACTTCTGATCTAGAAATGTTACTTTCCCGTGAAAGAAGTAAAACGTGATTTTGAACAGTGTAAAGTTTTCCCTCTGAGAACTACAGAGCATTAAATTTGGTTCCATGTTAAAAGAACCCAAATCACTAAACTCTTAAAATCCTATAAAGTGATTGCACCTTGGCCAACAAGCAACCTCTAGATAAAAAAGCTGACTTTCATTTATAGCCTGTTCTCACACAAGCAATGTATTCCAAGGGGTTTCTGGAGTTTTAAGAGACAGAACTACAAAACTTCTTAACAAAAATTTAGCAGAAATTCATTAACTGTATCAGTTTTGCTATTATTAACTACACTTACAATGTGCCATTTCAAAAAATCTTTTTTCGCAGATGGAAATTATTTTCATTACAATTTGGGAGGAAGCTCAGCAGTCAAATTCTATGCTTATAATCACCTTCGTAATGAAATAATCTGCCACGAATATCTTGAATATACATTATTAGGTTTTTAGAAAGCTTCTACCAGTTCAGATGTCTCTATTATTTTTCAAATCAATCCTTGACCATAGGTGGGACAGCTACTTAAAGTTCAATGGGGACTGATGTAATTAAGAACTTGGGTTAATTCCAAACAAAAACAACAAAGGAAAAAATAAATATCCAGAACCCTAGAGCCCTAGCAAGACACTTGAAATACACGCCTCAAAGCATTTTTGAAGGCTAGCATGCTGAGCTGCATACAGAAAAAGCTAAAGATGGGCTGTATTAAGTACAGCTTCTCGGATGCCCCACTCGGAGCTGAAAAATAACTTCTCAGCAAGTTCTCAGTTGTCCACTTCAGCTCTTCACCTGAAGGCTGGTACTTAAAAGCTTCCTTGACCACGACAGATTATGTCTTCAATTTTTTCTCTATACAGTAGCAAAGTTTCAGCAGTTGAAAGATGGGAGGTAAAACTACACGAGCCAAAAATCTCTTACAGGCAGCCTTCAGATGACAGAAATGAGAGAAGATTCAGTAGTTCACATTGTCCTTTTGCCATAAGCACTACAAATTGGAAAGAATTAGGAGATGAATCGTTTTCCAAGCATTGTTGACAGACAGGTATCTTGTCTGATACTTCAGGCAAAGAAGCAAATACTAGACTACTTCAAGTTAACACTCACTTCCACAGGTGTATTAATTCCATTATGGAAGGTAAAGTCTCAACTGTCAGACAGAGACAACTCTGACCTTGCCAGATGTACAAGGAGGCTAAAGGAAAACCACTTTACAGGTGTTCTGGAGGAAAGAAATAAAGAGCAGGGAGGAGACCAAATAAAGACACCTTAGAACAAGAGCGAATAAGAAGAACTGATCCTGAAAGATGAAGACAAGAAGAAGGAGGAAAAAGAGAGAAGAGACAGACAGGCGTTATACAACGTGACTACTCCTGACAGCAGGAAACAGGGATAAGAGGAGACTTAGTTCAAACACTGGCAATAGAAAACGCATCTTCTTGCATTCTCTGAACTGACTCTGGGATTACAGCACGGTCCTCAGCAGAGGCACAGTCTGTCTGAATCTCCCCCAGTAAAAGTACGGGAGGGGAAAGAAAAGGAAAAGAGTGAGCCCCAGTACCTGCATTAGTCCCTAACTTAGAGCACAAAGGCACATACCGCCATTACTGCACTGGAAATATCATCAGATTATAAACTGCGGTTCCTACAAACACTTTTTACAGCTAGGCAGCAACTGAGCAGCAAGTTTCCACCATCACAGGTGGTATTTAATGTTTTTCCACTTTAAAGAAGTTCTAATCTGATTAAGGCCGTCCAGTCAAAGTGTCAGTACTTTTGTCTGGAACACGAAAATGAGTGCTTCTGCTAAGCTTTAAGAAAGGGAAGGGCTTTACAAAGCTCTCCCCACAGAAGCGTACCTCTGCATGACTGCTGGAGGTTTCCGCCGTGTGCAAATCAAACCCAAAACACAGTTTCCCCTGTTTTGTTTATGCATTTCATAGAGTGACATACTAGAAGCTAGTATGTTCCAAGAGGATCTATATTAAGCCTATTACTTGAGACAAAAGGAAAAAAAAAAAATCCAGTTGTACTTTTTTTGTCCAAACCAAAGGCACCTTTTGGTCAATTCAAACTGGCGTTAGCAGCTGAAAACCAGTCATTACTATGAATACGCCCAGCGAGCCCAACCACTTGGAAATAATGCCGTACACGGCGTCAGACACCGAACGGCACCACACCACACGGGCCCCGGGCTCCGACGCCTCAACACCGTCACGTAAACACGGACACGTCTCCCCGGCACGCCGGGAGAGCCAGAGGAGCGAAAGTTGAGCCCGGCAGTTTCTGCCGAGCACTCACCGAGGAGGAGGTGGGCGTTCATGCAGTCGAAGAGCACCCCCCCGAGCACCGACCCGCCCAGGTAGCCCAGCGACCGGCCCACGAAGATGTAGTAGATGTCGGTGACGTTCTTGTGGACGTTGGCGGCCAGGTTTTGGAAGGTGGGCCCCAGCACCGCGATGCTCATTCCCTGCAAGACATTTTTAAAAGGGGTGACTTCGCTCGCCGCCTTCCCCCGCCCGCGGTGGTTCGCGGCCCCAGCCGGGCCGAGCG